CGTTCGTCTGCCTTGTATGCAGTGGAGAATTGGCTTTTAAAGTAGACTTTGCGTTGTTCAGTGGAGGTGTCGGTAGTGGGGTTTTTTTGGCGGCTGTCCAGGTATCGTTGAAGTGTCTTGTCGAATGTGGTATTACTATATTCATTATTGATGAATGTTTGTCGGAGTGTACGAATTCTGTTGTGAAATAGATTCCAATCTGAGGATATTTTGTAGGTACAGTGGATGAGGGCGTGGATGGTTCCAGTTTTGTATCTTTGAGGGCATTCACTTTGAGCGTTGAAATCTACCTTTCTCTTTGTCTTAGTATGGTTGAAAGGCAAACATTCTCACATATCTTAGTGACTGTGACTGACATCTTTTTGTCTTTCCCTTTGGGTGTAAAAAAAATATTGCAGGAAAAGCCTTGGCCCACTGCTCATTTGATGAAGGAGAAGGTTATTGAAATTTATAGAGAGAGAAATATGAGGAACAGATTGGAAGGAACTAGACAATGGGAAATAAATGACAATTAAATGAAAAATTCATTATCATAAGTATCACATTTCTCTGACGTAAGATACTTTCTTGCAGCCTTTTTTGTAATAATTCATAACTTACTATCTTATTAGTCAATAATTGTATTGAACCTAAAGTTGTAAGTAAAAGAAAAAGTACTTGTATTAGATTTTTAAACTGTAACACGAGTTTCAAGAATACCTTCATGAGAGGATTGAAGAAAGCAAAGAAAATTGAACATTTTATTTATTTCATTTATTAAGACCATGGCTTCACCAGTGAAAACATCATCAGGTGCAGTTACTGGTGAAAACATGGTCATGATAAACGAAATATTTGTGAAACATACAGCTGTCTTTGTTTTTTTAATTATGTAATTATGGAGTTTCACCCGGTACTGATAATTCCAAGTATTAATCTTATAAGAGGACTAAACCATTTTCAGGAAGTTTACAACATACAAGGTGAAAAACAAAGTAAATATTTATTTTGCCATAAAAATCTAAAATAATTTTTAACTGTATTTAATCATTCAGTTGACTTCATAGTTTACTGTAATATATGTAGTCTGTGTAATGATGTTTTATTTGTGTCTGTTTACTATCTTTGCAGATTTACATGTGAGAGAAGGATTTACTTGTTGTTTCTGATCTATGATCTGTAACAAGTTTTCCAATTTTATTGTAATTGCCTTGAATAGCCCAAGTATTCCAAAGTAGCATGTTATACAGTTTTAAATTTCTAGACTTAACCAGTTAAAGTTATTACATGTTCCAAGTGACTGAAGTGTTAATTAGTATTGTCTTTAATATGCAAACCAAATGAAATATAGTTTTTGTACAGACAAAAAGTAAAAACAGTAGTTTAAATAAATATACACGTATATTTTAACAGTTTTTCTTTTCACTATAATTGTGTTTGTTTCTTTGTAGGGCCAAGAACAGGAGCATACATTTGTATTTCGACTATATAATGCCAAGGCCTCTAAACACCTCTGGAAATGTGCTGTTGAACATCATGCCTTTTTTAGGTTAAAAGGTCCTGTCAAAGGCTTATCTGTAAGGCAAAACTTCTTCAGAATGGGATCCAGATTCAGATACAGGTATTAAGTTGTGGGTTAATGAATTAAAGAATTGTATGTAAGCCGATACAATAATGTTGTGATAGAGATTCCAGAGTATACTGATGATAAACTTAACAAATACTTTTATGAAATGTATATTTGAATAAAAACTAATGAACATTCCCATTAAATCTAAAATATAATATATGTTGGCATCATAATAATCTTTATGTTGCTCTCTATATTTCGGTCTAATTAATGAGTTTTGTAAGTAGTTGCACACTTAGCTTTTCATTAAAGATAGTTTTATTAATAATATTGGTTATAATGTGTAAAATAATATTGTATATTATTTATTATTAACATTTTTCATATTTATAAAGATCACTTTGTTTTATTAGCTTAATATGTGTACTTAGAACTACCTATATGTCCTAACTTGGCTGAAAATATTTTTAATAGTAAGGATACCTAACTGATGATTCATTGTACTGGCAGGAACACACACCTCCCTACAGGTGGCTGTTTGTGCTAGTAATTACTACTTGTACTATTCATACCTCATTGAAAAAAAAAATTAGAAAAGTGAAAAAGAAAAAAGTGTTTGGATTGTGCTCTTTGAATCATTTTGATGCAATGAATTGCATATGACTAATGTACAAAGCTCAAAATTTTCATAAAGTTTACTGATATAAACTTTAATGTGTTTATATATTAAAGTGGTACCATTTATTGAAAAAATAATAATTTTTTAAGAACTCCAGTTCTTAGTACTACATTTAAAAATTATATCAGTAAGTATATAATCAAACCCTCATGTACAGTCTTAGTGAAAGCCATGTTCTTGTTGTGAGGAGACTACTTTTATTTAAGATTGTGTTCTCTTATACAGAAATGGACCTTGTTTCACGAAACATGGTTGTTTTTTGAATTGTCTGAATCTTGAATACCCAAAGTATGAAATATTATGGATTTTTGTTTGCGGTACCATTCAATAGATGGTGCAAGAGTTTTGGTTATGTACATAGATACTGACATACATGATAATCCATTATAGTAAGATTATAATCAGTATAGGTTTTACTTTTTCTTATTTATCTGTTCATTACATTATATACTTCTTGTCAGTTTGATATTTAAAATAGGTTTCATTAACTTATAAGTTATGTTTTAGCTCTGATTTATATAGTTAGCCTACATTTCACCAGAAAGTATTAAGAATTACTGATTTCTTGAACGTTATTGTTCATAAATGAGAACAAAAATTTATGTTTGTAATTGTCAAGCATGAGAAAAGGATTCCAATTTTAATTATAACAACTCTTAATGAAGGTTCTGTGGTTCATTCTATTACAAAGACATTACTTCATGTAAATGATAAATATTCATTAATGGTTTATATTACATAAAAAGATATATTTTAAAATTGAACTATCACTGCAGCTTATTTTACGTGATTAAACAATGTTTCTTGATTGTCAGTTGTTGTTAACATAAAAAGAATGAAGATGATAAATGTAGCTCTTTCATTGTAGTGGTAAAACTGAACTACAAGCAACCAAAAACAGAGCTAGACGTACTGTTCAGTTTGAACGTCGCCCAAGTCAGAGATTTTCTCGTAGAATTGGACATGATCACTATAAGGAAAATGCAAACTGTACTTATTTCAGTGAAGTGAAGAATAATGGGTGAGCAACCTACATTATCTTAAAAATCGTAGGGAATAAAATATGTGGCTTTGAGTTTTTTTTAACCTTATTTAAGAGCTATCTTAATTTTTCTGTGAAATATTCAAAGAATTTGAACAGTCACAGTCTTTGTTTTGTACAAAGTACTGAGTTTGGTAATATGTTTTAACTTTACTCATTTTTGTTTAACCATGAATCACAATAGCAATTCATAATAGGAATTGCACAGAACCCCAATAGAACATTCAGGTAAAAAGCACCTTAAACAATAAAGATTCAGTTCAAACAACACTTTAAAACCTTTACTATTGACTTGTAAGGCTTTACACATATAAAAATGCACAAAAAAGCATGCATGTTGGACTTAACAAAAAAAAAAATCTGCTCAAAATGTCCTATTTGTAATTCTTATTATTATTATTCTCTTGCTAGCCTACAACAAAAATGGTTTGGTATATTGCTTCCAAACCTTTTGTAGAATACTAAATAAGGTACTCTGAAGGTTGAGGGGTATTGAAAAGATCGATTTGTTTCTTCTATATTTTACATAACAGGCCTGTCCACAAGATTTTTTTTTGAGGAGGGGCAAAACTTGAGATTTTGCCAGAGTGTATTCTGGTCACAGAGTGCAACAAGGTTACCACCTCAAGGGATCTGGGGGCATCCTTCCCCCAAAAATTTTAAACATCTAGATATCAAAACTATGTGAAAAATGGCCAAAAATGTAGTATTTATTTATTATTTTTAATATTTCATTGACAAAGATATCTATACAAAGTTTCAATGACATTCATGCAAAAATAGGCAAGAAAAGTGTTAAAAATGTAAACTTTCATATATTTTATTTTCTGTGACCTTGACAATTTCATTTCATGAAAGTAGATTGACCAGCTTAATCCTGCGTAGATGTAAGTTGGCAAATCAAGTTACAATTTTATCCGTGTTCACCGATCGACTATAATATGTCTGGATTAAGCCAAGGTTTGAAAACCTTTCACATGTCATGCTAGCACTACTGTATGTATTCAATCTCCTAAGGGTGCTAGCCCCTCTTTCATTCTCACAAGAGGTGACAGGGAGGGTACAACCAATTTTCAACAGTATGAAAATCTGGGGAAAGAACGTTTTATCACAGCTTTTAATACTTTTGACAAAAGTGTCAGGAAGGTCTTCCAGTGGCATGTTTTTGAAATTGTCTTTCCATCTTGCATACTCTTCAGTGAAAAGCTCAGGCTGTGGCAAGTCTTCAACATATGTGTCTACAGCTTCCTATAGCAACAACTTAGTGCACGAGACAGCTAGTGCTAAAAATAGAAGAAATAAATATGTTTCTCAACAAGTGTTAAATACATGTACGTATCTGTAGAAATTACAGTAACTATGCTACAACAAAGCCAGTTTTAAGATATTGATTTCCAGACCATTTCATTCTTTATTTTCACTATTTTCTATCTTATAATATAAAACAAAATCAACTTGTAATGAAGTAACCTTGGAGCCCTTTGAAGTTTGAACTTTGTTAATCCAGAATCCTCTTAATTTACTGAAATAATATTAAATGTCATAGAAGCTATTCCTCTTATTACTTGTCAGAAATTGTATTTGATTAAAGATATGAATACCTGTATTTATTTCTATTTATTAGATATCATTGTGAAACTGTGAAAATATTACTGTAAAAAAAATCACTTTTGTGAATCCAAGAAAATTACTGCCTGTATTATCCAAATTAATGTAAAATAATAAAATATACATACATGTATGACATCTGAATTTATAGTGAGTAAAGTATTACTGTGCTGCTACTACTATACTTAATAGTTACTACTCTACTACTACTACTATACTTAATAGTTACTACTCTACTGCTGCTACTATACTTAATAGTTACTACTCTACTGCTGCTACTATACTTAATAGTTACTACTCTACTGCTGCTGCTGCTATACTTAGTAGTTACTACTCTACTGCTGCTGCTGCTACTATACTTAATAGTTACTACTCTACTACTACTGAAATAGTCATTACTCTACTACTACTACTACTACAGTCACTACTCTACTACTATACTTTAATAGTTATTATTCTGCTACTACTACTACTACTACTACTACTACTGAAATAGTCACTACTCTACTACTGCCATCACCCACAGCACTACTACTTCTAGTGCTAATAAAAAATTATATAAAAACCAAAACAACATAGATGTCATACATAAAAGACTGTACAAAGAAAAGCTGAATGTACAAGAAGTGCTAATTGTATGAAACAAGAGCATATCTTAAAGATACTGAAAGAAGAGAAATCAGTAAGACAATAATTACTACCACCACTTGTCGAATACACTGTATTTACACATGAAAATACCATTGTATTCATTGCTTAAATCCATCCTGTGTCAAAATAAAAATAAATTATATAAAATAAAGAAAAGAAAATAGTGAAAAACATCTTCATAAAATTTAAACTACATTTTATTCAATACACATATCCTATATAATTTAAAATTTATGCTAAATATGCAAACTTAGTTCATCAATAATTTTGTTATAGGCCTTTGTTTCTGTAACTTCTTAAACAGGCAAATATATAGTAGATCTTTTGGGGGGTGGGGTGTATGTCTATTGTTTACTTAAAATGTGGTCTACAAAAGGAATGGCCAAGTTCACAAGGTAGTATTTCTGGATTTTGTGATCACATTGTGGGCTCTCACACAAGCAGTCAGATTCAGCGCTCATGTTACTACGATGTTGCTGTCTCTTTGGGAATAGTGGTCTCTTCACCAATCTGTCAAACATATTTTGTGATATTTTAAATTTAGTGCTCAGATATGCATTATCAACCAGTGTTTATTTATATTAGTCTTAGTAGGTCAATATTACCTAAGTACTACTGCATATTTATATTATAACTTATGAATTTTAAAAGTCATTAAAGCACACACTATAAAGACAGTGTAGCTATATAAAATACCTTAGGTTGTTTTATATTTTTAATACCTGAATTGAAATTCGTTTGGCATGAGTGAACCAAGCTCCAAGCCTTACTTCTATCTGCTGCCATAAACTCTGGTAGTGTTCCTTAACTACAGGCACCCAAAGGATATATTTATATATTTAATTTTTAAATATAATGGTCATGAATATATCTGTGTAATTATATTTGCATAAAGTCAAATATGGAATAATATATATATATATGTATATAATATACAGTGATCCTTCTTATAAGCAGACACCCTTGCTGAGAAAGAAGTGTCCACTTGCATGAAGTAAAAATAAGTATATATGTAGTGCACTGAAATGTGTCCACTTATAGGAGCCACTTATAAGAGGGACTACTGTATATCCATAATTAGATTTGCCAATTGGAACACCTCTGACATACAAAATTTAATTAATTATTATTTAATTAGATTTAATTAATTATTATTTCAAAATTCTGAATAAGAACAGCAACAAGCCAAGCAATGGTGTACAATGTTAAGCAGTGGACAAACAGAGCCTAGACAAGAGGTGATTTAAAGTTTTAGAAATCACTTTGAACTTACGTTTCTGTAAGCATTGTAAACATTTATCTAGAAATGTTTCCTGTGGTTGATGGCTCAGACCATCTAATCCAGAAAGGCTCATGTAGGCAACCAAGAATGTTAAAATGAGATCAAATGATGATATGCTTTGCAGGAGTCCACTTGCTTCTCTTTTAGTGTGGCTGTCTCACTGGTCAAATGAGTTTAGATCTAGGTTCTCAACATTTATATCATAAGTCATATACTCTGAAGCTATATTCAAATAGATGTATGCGTGATAGAAGGACTTATAGGCATCATGTTATGTTGCACATCTCATGCACATCTCTTCTCTGCATCTGAAACCTTCTGCTGAATGATAGTTTTCAGCAAACCTTATGTCTTTGGACTATAACTGAAGAAAACAGTGCTTTTATGTTATCCAAACTGTTCCGGATGCACGGTAACTGACATGAGTGAACAATGACAAGGTTGAGTGCATAACTGCTACATCTGGTGTAGACTGCTTTTGGTGCATGATTCCTAACTACTGCTTGGATACCAACTCTACTGCTACTCATGTTTTGTGCCCCATCATAGCACTGCCCTCTCATCTCATCCAGTGGTATTTTCAGACACACTGTTTTTTAAAAATCAATGTCAATGTTCATTAACTTGTGTAGGGGTAAGAATTTGGAAGGCAATATCCAATAATATAAGAGAAATGGATTCCTTAAAAAAACTAAGATAGGTTTAAAAAAAACTGTTAAATATATGATTTACTTAGTTATCTTTATATTAAATAAAAAATATTATAATATTTATTGTATAGATTGTATAAAGTGGTATCAAATATGTTATATGCATTAACTTTTTTTCAATGTATTTGTATATATGTGTGTGTCTTTTCTTTTTGTAAATTATTAATTCTTCTTGTTAGAGGTGGATGAACTCTGTATAAGCATCCTCTTTTTTTACTTTTTTGTGCCTCCTTTTGATGTATTAGATTAATTGTAGTTAAAATTATTAATTATTTACAACATATTATATTATCTAGTAAGTGAGTAAAATTGAATCTAAAAACCTGTTACCTTATTATTCTCTGTCCAATATAATTGGTCTTTAGAGTAGAGTTGTTTCTCCTTAATTGTAACAATATTTTTATTCATTATTACTGATATTATTGCTGTATCTTCCAAAAATGTTTAAGATCATGTACATGTTCAGGATGCCCGCAAATCTGGGAAACCTGAAAAACTGGGAAATTGGAAAAAAGATGCAAAAAATTAGAAAAAAATAGAAAACTATCTTAAAATCTGGAAAAGTTAGGGATACAAATGTGGTCCCTCTTCACATACCCCTTTTAATTTCAGAACCTGTTTATACAACCAAACTATGCAGCTTAGTTATGCCAAATATTAATGTATTTTAACACAATCTTGATGAGACACTTTTTTTATCTACAGAAAATTATCTAATTCATTATATTTGATGGTAAGTTTCTTTAATAAATAGAAATGCTATATTTTATTGCCTACCATAAAGTTTGAATGTCCTTGTTAAAATATATTTTTCTGTGGCACTGTAGTTTGAAGTAAGCATGTTTTGAAGTTTTTATAACCAGATTACATCTAAAATAGTGTTAATTGGCTAGAATTATAATGAAACATTGGAATATTAGTGTGTTGTACACATGTATAAGCAGGTCTGGAAAATCTGGGCTTTTTCCTGGAAAGCCAAGGAGAAAAAGTGTGGAAAGAAAGTGTGACCACTTTGGTGTTCAATTTTGATGACTGATGTTTTTAGTTTATTTGATGGTATGAAAGGAGATTGTTTTCACAATAACTAGAATTATGAAGTTGTTTATTGTTATTTCATTGCATCTCATATTTCTTGAACAGGCTAGTTACAGCTATCACTCCTGATACTTTTACATCACTAGAGGGCACTTCTATTGTTGATAGTCCTGTCAGTACACTATCAGCTCCTACTACTCCTGTAGAGAGCCAAATACCTGCTGTTCCTAGCATACCACCATCTGCACCGTCATCACCGACCATTTCCCAATCCACAACTAGTACAACTCCTACTGTAGCAGTTGTTAACACTTCTGAAGAGAGGCTAGACACACTTATAAAATCTCTGACAAAGGAGAATGCAAATGAAGAGAAAGGAGAATCGAAGAATGAGTATGCAGTAACACCCATAATGAGGAGGACTGAAGCTACAACTACAAATATGTCAGGTTAATAGGGATTGACTTTTCTTTAATAATTTATAAAACAAATAATTTCTTTATTTAGAATTTATGTACAACACTATCCAAAAATTGTTTTAAAATACAGAAGCAAATCTCAATACAATGCTTTACTCCTTTATACAAAAGAAAAACAGCTTAATGTTGCCACTTTGCCATTTTTTTAGGATGGCTAAGCCTGTTAATATGTAGTTTATATGAAACAAGAAGTAAGTAATTATATAACTATTAGTTAGTTTCCTGGTAATATATGTCCAAATTAAAAAAAAAAAAGTGAAATTTATGTATTACAAATGTAATTTTTTTTATTACTTGTATAAAATATTAACAAACTATAAGTCAACAAAAGCCAAAGACAGTGGTAGAAACTTACTAATAATGATTACCTTTCAAGTTTAATAAGCAAGATGTGAAATATTGTTCACTTAAATTGTAACTTAGAATTATGTTTGACAAGGATTACAATTTTCAAACCTTCTGAATGTGTTTCACCTGGGTTGTTTAGTAACAATGGAATTCATGAAATATGTAGGAGGATGATCTATATGTAAAACATACTGATACTGTACACTTAACACAGTTGTGAATCTAAACTGTAGAGATTATACACACTGAGCTAGAGATTATCTACTAACACCAGAGAACTGTGCATGCAACACATTCTAGGAGAAACATATTAGGGAGCATTCAAAATTTTCAGAGCTTGGTTTTATGGAGTTTACAAGAAACATAGCTTAGCAATGCAACTGTTTCATTGATAATAACAGTGCCACTCAAATCATCAATACTGGAATAGATACAAACAGCAGACATCATGGAGATGAAATGTCCAAACATTTTCTCTTAAGCAACACTTCTACTTGTACTTTGTTCTAGTGTATACAACTCATTCATAATCTAACTTGAAGTATTTTTGGAAGGGTAAATGGAGAATAAACCACCACTGATTAGCATTTTAATTTAGTATTACTTTTATTCAAGCAACACTCTTATTTAATTTACCCTAAACATGGCTTACAATGCAACACAGCAGCTACATTCAAAATGAAAAAATCTTATTAACAGGCTTTAAAGTTATCTATTAAAATAATATAAATATTTTAAATATCATACAAGAAATTTCTCAACCTTAAGTAGATGTTGATCAGGTTCTGATCCTCCTTGTATAAAAAGTCCTGCCCTCTTTTGTGAGTCAGTTGGTAATCTCAGCATATTTATAGTATTCTGTTGGTTTGTAGCACAAGAATGAAATTTGTGATAATGTCATATTTACAAGCTCTTGACATATTAAATTCCAAGATAAAACTCTAAACCGATTATACTCTAGTACTAGATTCACCTGTAATAATAATAGTGACAGACCTGGTATGTTAATTGTTTCATGTTACAATCTCATTTTCATTAACTGTAAAAAGCTTGTGTTGGTCAGAAGATTTTCCTGTCTAAAAGGGAGAGCTGTATATTAATTCTGAATGTATTATTCTGCTGAATGAGGGAGACAAGTCTATAGTTCAACATTTTTGTGTTTGATAAAAGGGTTTGGTTTTGGAAGTATGGAACAATGATGGATAATTTATACTGGTGACAACTGTGAATAATCCCTTAATTCTTCTTGTGGTGGGGAGGATTATATAAAATGTGCTACCTTAGTAAGTGTACAGGAACAATGTTTATAATACACATTGAAACGAATAGTGTATAATTTTAAGAGGCTGGTGGTGGTTGTTGGGCTTATGCTGTGGGAAACCATATTTAAGCAATGTATAATTAATTGTTGGTAAGGAAGCACATTTATACATAACTTCATAGCATATTGTTGAGGTAGTGGTGTATTTCACTGTAGAGAATAGAGGAATGTTTGTATGTATCTTATTGTGAGAAAAGTATATGTCTTAATTTTGAGTTTAATTAAGATGAAGAAAAAAGAAACAAAAAAAAATCCTATTTCTTTGTTTTAGAATCAGAAACTCTAGCAGCCAAGCTGAAAGGCTTAGACTCCTTTAGCCCTTTACAATCAAAACGATCCTTGTCAAATGCCAGCAGCATGAGTAATGCTAGCTCAACCACCAAAGATATTAGCATGATAAAGAATAACCAGATGCGACCTACCAGTGGTGGTAGTGTTCGACCCATTCCACCTGATCAAATGAAGTGTAATATTTTGAAGGAAGAGAAAAATATAGGTTTGTATCCTGAAATCTGATTCTTCCTCAAACCTTTAAGTGTGTTTTGATACCTGTGGTGGGCACATCACAGAGATAGCTCATTATGAAGCTTTGTGTTTCACAAGAAACAAACAAACAAACTTCTTAAGTTATTTCAGATAAGTTGTTTTCTTTACTGCTGATTCAAAGTGACATAAAATTTGAATGTTTGATCTGTATTTGCAATAATCTTAACAAAAGCTACAACTTTTTTATGTCTATAGTGTTTCATCATTTTCATTTCACATAATTTGGTAAATAGTAATAATAGTACTTAGTCAAACCATTGTAGTATAGTATAGTATATGTATTCATGAGGATTAGTGGAAAGGAGAAATCACCACAGGTATGGGAAATAGGACATTTGCAACAGAAAGAGTGAAAAATATACACTCAAACACTACCAAATTAGTTGAGTATTAAATAATCATTAACAAACAACAAATAGTTAATATAAAGGAGGAACCTGACAGTGTCACTCACTGTTTAGTTTTACAATATCTTGCATTAAAAATTATTCTTAATGTTATTAATAACTCTTATTTGTTTACATCACACATTGGTGTCCTATTAATACAAAAACTGTTTATTACACAAATGCTGCTGTTATAATATCATTTGTACGTGCTATGACAGTTAATGTTCATAGGTTATCAGTGCCCAAACTGTCTTGACTTAAGGTTAAAGAGATGTCCTTCAGCCCAGCAGTTTACCACACAACCTGTTTCAACACTTTTTTTTTCTTTCCACCATTGACATGACTTAAGATTTCATGTGTCTACCAGTGATAAAATATGTTTGTACTTGGAGAACCACATATATTTTGTGCAACTTAATTGAATATTTACTGTTTTGGTCATAAGTCAGTTATGGTGTTGGAGGCACTTTATGAGTACATGTACAAATCTTATTAGATTAATTACTTGAAGATATACTGATATTGTATGCTTAATCCAGTTGTATGATATTTTATGGGTGTAATCAAATTAGTTTTTGTCCTGATGAAGGATAACGCCCAGTGTTATTCTGTCTAGAGTATGATGGACTGACTACCATGAACAAGAAATTATAGAGATCATGGATTGACTATCAAATAATTTCCGATATAAATTCCATACTGTTCCCCTAAGATTACCTTGGATGCTGTGTCCATCAGTACTTACACCTATCATGTGACATTAAGGAGCTTGGTATTGCTCTTACTGAATAGAGTCCTACATAATGTCACCCACCAACAGCTCAGAGAAGTATGCAGTATCAAAGCCAGATAAGTCCTTACCTGTTACTGAGTGCCTCTTTTTGCCTGATGTGACTCTTTCAGACAAGATTATTCACTCAGACCCTTTGTTCTGACCAATGCAGATTTAAGAATGTTCATGTACCATGAGGTGCAGCTGGTGATACTTTTTCAGTAAAACTAAATTGTTAGCTATATTCAATGAATAGATGGTGTTTCTGGAATATATTCTAAGTTCTGCTCTATGTTTATTTGGTTAACGAAGAATATACTAATAAAGTTTTGTCCTTATAATTTTTTTGGTACCTTATTTCTACAATACAGCCTGTACAATGGTCTTTATTGTTACTTTAATTGTCTGTACAGTAAATGCTTGATGCCACACCTTGTTTTTGCTGCTAATAGAAATCTGTTTGGATTGTATTTCAATATTCATGTAGTAAAATATTCTGTACTATGTTGTGAATAGATTCTTACTATTCTGATATTGACACATTGATTCGTTTCCATAAACAAACTTATTTAGGTGAGAAGATTGTATGGAAACCTGATGAATATGATAGTCATCATTGTCTGCTGAATAAAGAAACAATATTGACTACCAACGATTCAAAAACGATTGTTGTGTTGAATGGGTAGGTAAAAAGATGAAATTACATATTTCTTCATGAAAAATACAAAACTAAATAACGATTATTTGTTATATTCTGGTAGCTTAACTTGTAATGGTTAAAATACTTTTCTTTTTGTTAAATATAAGTGCACCTATGTTATTATTTTAATTTGTTCATGTTAGAAGATAAAATAAGTTATGAGTTAGGGGCAGAAGAGTTAAGTTTGAAGAAAGTTTGCAATTATTAAATTTTCTAATAATTTATGTCATGCATATGAACTTATTGTTATTCATTTATTGGCACTCTTATGTTTGCACTTGTATATTCTTGTAGATAAAAGAGCTGACTACATTTTTTATTTGTGTTGCTGCAAGGGGAAAATGTAATGATAGGTAAAACTCTGACCCTTCTGTTCATTGAGCTATTGTTTCATTTCACAACTATTAGTGAGATGGTGTTTCATTTTTTCAGTTTTTGACTTACGGATACTTCATGTATTTTATATAGGCATAGCTTCCCATTCTCTTGTGTCTAACTGATATTGATGTTTAGTAAAAATCGTCAAAAATATGATATTATATTGATGATCATAAATCACTTAGAAACATAAAAATGGATTACCATGTTTATTGATTTGTAAAGGTGTAAAACATAAGAATACTGTTGCGTCATCAAGATCACATGACTATTCTCACTCTCTCTAGTTTCTAGAACTATCCTGTACCTTGGCGAATGCTCTAGTATTTACTAGATAGGGTAGGCTGGTATATAAAAGAGGGTGACAACGTGACGAGATAATGTAATGTAATGTGTGTGTAGGTAATGAGTAATTGGGTCTGCAGTCAGAAGTATTATTGAGCACGTTCGTTGTTATAGCGTTTGTTTAGCGCGATTGTTGAAGTTGAGTGTATCGCTAAAGTTATATTCGGAAAGAATAAACCAGTTTTATTAAGTAAGGACTTGTGTTGCTAAAGTTTCGTCGGAACGAAGTTACGGAAAGTTAATTAACAAACGGAGACGTAACAATACTATAATATATATATATAGGCACAATTTGAAATTATAAAATGGCTAATGGTGTCCTTACTCTGTGACTAGATAAATGTAAGTAACAGTTATACAGCAAATACGCGATGGGGAGTGGGGGAGTTTCCTCTAACCTCGTAAAATAATAGTATTTCCATGTATCAACTATCAAAATGCAGTCCGATGCAAAGTAGTTTTCAGTGATATAATACACTAAATAGTTTCTAGTTAAAAAAAACTGTATCTTTGGTGTAAATATCTTAAGCATGTTTCTAAAATCCAGGTCTAACTTTTAATTATACAGAACTTAACATTACATTACAACATGTGTTCTTACTGACTAGAGCATGTCGAGACCCGATTAAACTTTCTTTCCAAATAAAACCCACTCTTCCACGAATTCTGCTTTGTATCCACTGTCTCGGTACTCCTCCCCCCCCCCTTTAAGTTCTTCAAGCATAAATGTAGAACAATCCATTTTTGTCTTTTCGTAGTGTCAAATTTTGAATATGGGCTAGGATTATTTTACAGTAAGTGTCTGTGACTTTTTGGCGATAAATATCAACAATAAACGGACAGTACACAATCCACTTGTTTTAAAATAATATATTCAAAACAAGATAAACGTATGTACAAAACCTCGTGTATCTAAAGTTTTAAATAATTCTCTTTTCTTGTCAAAAGTTCACACAGACTAGTTCAGTTACCTTAGAGAATAATAATTCATCTTATCAATTGTGTTCTATCTCTCTCCTTCTCAATATACAATTTGTGATAAATTCACTTACACCACAGTTGTATCCAGAACATTAAATAACTGTCTCTTTTTTTCGTCGAAGTCCACACAGGCGGGTTCAAATACTTTAGTACACCATTTGACAAGACAAATTATTCTCTTTATCTCTGTTAAACTCACTTTAAAAAGTTAAACTAACAATTACGCAGTCTAATTTTACTTTAATTAA